AAAAGGTTAATATTGGTAAAATCATTAAAGGGAGAAGCCGACATAACCGAAGCTGAAGATTCGGCAGTCGGTTGAACAGAATTTTTTTATTTGATTTTTTAGTCGTTTTAGGTGGCATAACGAAGATCATGAAAATAGAAAGAGTATGCTCAAGCATTTAATTCTATAAATATCGCCATTGATTGTGATGCTTGAGCGTCATCACGGACATTCTTAAATCAATTGATTTAGATGCTTGAGAACGGCCTTATGGAGGTTTCACTGTAATTTATATAGTGAGAAAAGCTAGATATAAAATTTATTACTGAATTGTGAACAAAAAAATTTCAATTCCGTAAATAGAAAGTATTTGCTTATTTACAATTAAGTTAAACTAAGTAAAAAAAATCAAAATATATTTTTACAAAAATCTAAAATTAAACTTTCTAAAAATAGGCAATTTAATAGTGCTAATAATTATGTTGTACATATACTATATATAGTAAAACCTCCATAAGTGCACCCTCTATAAGTGTACACCCTCTCTAAATGCACGCTCAAGTTCTGGCCCAAATACAGTATACATACACCTAATAAATGCACTTTCTCTTATTGACCTCTAAGTGCATGTTATTAAAGATTGGTCCAAAGTACATGTACTTATAGATACACGTAATTAATTTTATTAATATATTTATATATTTTTTAAAAAATTTCCCATCGTTAGATGAAATTAAGTTTTCTATGGGGTAAACTTTAAAATTATTAAAATTCGCAAGAAAACTTTGGATAGTACACAGTAGTATCATATACAAATTGTTATAACGAATTCTCGGATTTTGATTTTTCACAGTTCTTTTTGCATTACATTTATTTTATTTAACGCTAAACAATTTTCGGAGAAATGAACATATGGTATATTTAGTTAGGTGTAACGTGAAAATTGAAAATCAATAAATAGATTTTTATGCAACACCTTAGGTCTATAATAAGTCATATAATAATATTACTGTATATACTAGGAAAACAGTTATCCAAAGCTAAATATATTTAAAGCCGTTTACTAAAAATAGAACGGATGAATTAAGAATAATCTACCCATAATAGGTGCGAGCAAGTCAATAAAAACCCGATCTACGTTCACTACACCATAAATCATCTTATATGTAAATGCAATAAATATACGGTAACTTGACAAACAGTATAGAAAATATGGACAAGAAAATTGATAACGAGAAAAATTATTTTGTTGATACATCATTAGCATATGTGAATGATAATTTGAATGATTTAACAGAGTTGTTGACGAGTGGAAACCAACAAATAGATTCTGCTATTCAAAGTACGCAGAATCACCCTATATTTAAACTCAGCATTATAGATTACACCGAATTTTCTGAGGTTGAATTAATTGGAAGAGGAGGGTTTTCTAATGTATTTAAGGCTACTTATAAGAGTAGCTTTGTCGCCCTTAAAGTTGTTGAAGGCTCGAAAAATATGACTTCATATTTTCTAAATGAGGTACTTAATTTTTATCATACTTATGTATTATAAATGTAAGTTTAATAATTAATGATTATCTTTTATAGTTAAAATCTCATCAAACATGCCGTTGCACTGGTGCATTTTTATATTTTTACGGAATTTCCATAGAACCATCAACAAGAGATTATATTCTTGTGATGGATTTTATGCCAAAATTAGATTTACGCAGAAATCTGACCCAGAGAAAAGAGTTTAAGACCATATTATATATCTTATTCAACATTGCTAAAGATTTGATCGGAATTCACAACAGCAATCTCATTCATAGAGATTTACACAGCGGGAATGTCCTGCAAAATGACGATGATGAGAGCTATATAAGTGATTTGGGTATGTCTGCTTTAGTAGACCAAAAACCACAAAAGGATGGGATTTATGGCGTTTTACCTTATGTAGCGCCTGAAATATTAAGTGGAAATCCCTATTCCAAAGCCTCGGATATTTATTCATTTGGTATTATTATGTGGGAACTGGCCGCACATAGGCCAATATACTCTAAGGAATTATATGACCAGATTGATCTGGCCAGGATGATTGTCCTTCAAGAATTAAGACCAACCATCCCAGATAACCTTCCGCAACGTTATGTTAATCTTATGGTACGAGCGTGGGATCAAAATCCCATGTTGCGACCAAGCGCAGAAGAAATCCTTTCTGAATTGTGGGATTGGTATGTCGATCCCACAATTCAAAAGCAATATGATCAAATTACAATAGCCGCAGATAACGCTCTATATAATCCCGAGCTATATACTAGTAAATTTATTCGTACTAATATTGTAACGAATAAAAATTTTACTAGCATAATTTATAATAATTATTTTCATTATTCAAAATTTTCAATTATATTATTTGTATTTTTATTTTATATTATATTTTATTAATTTAGCCAATTTTATTTCTTTGTAGTCATCGGTTTTTCGATCAATTTCAGACGCCCTATCAAGAACACACCTACTATCAATTGAAATTAATATTTGGTGTGGGCTCTTTATAGAGTATCTGAATTGATCAACAAAACCGATATGTATTTAAATTATCTTGTAACCACTGTACCTAAAATTGTCACCTTATCATTTCAAACATCTAAAGCATCAACTGCATAGAAATATGTAGTTAAATGGCTTAGTTTTTTGATCAAATGCACATTTGAGCGCTTGAAGTTATAACACCTGGAAGGTGATTACCTCTGGAATTACATAACATTATAGGCTATTGTAAATACAATGAATCATCTAATTTCCAGATCAAGTTCAATATGAAAGTCAAACAATTATTTTTATTAAAAATAAAACACAGCTTGTTAGAATTGCAATTAGGTCAAGGCAGAATAAATTCTATACCAAATTTTACAATAATTGTTTACTATTTTTTAGAGTACAATTGAAAAAATATAATAATTTTAATTTTTTTACATGTCATGAAATTCAATATTTTATCAGATATAATTACAGATTAAAGTAAATAATTTATAAAATTGCTGATTTTCAATCGATAAACCTTATTTTCTATCAATCTAAAAGCAGGTAATAGTTAATGATCAATACCCATATATACCCATATATATTTAGATCATAATTGTCACCAGTTTTTTAAATGCATAATAAAAACATTTGCCATTCTTAACGATGTCTCATATATTATTTCCTTCGTATTGGCTTTGCTAGGAAGACAATTCTTTAGGACTGTCGTTATGTAGACTTTAATGAATAAATTTATATTAGCCATCCAAGAGTTCTATAAAATAAAAGAAAAGTTCAAATAGATCATCAGATGGCTAACATAATTAAATTTCATCTATCTAATCTCATATTTCTGGATTATTTTCCTATCTAGGATCTCATATAATAATTACTAACAAACTGGATGGCTGCGTGACGTTGGCTCAAAATCAGAAACAAAATATCTAACAGAAATTTTCTAGTGATGGGCGATTGTAACTAGAATTAATGTTTTTTCAAAGCTACATGTCTTTAATAGTACTTAAATTCGAAAATTGTTTAGAAGTTGGTGTTGATAAAAAATGTCACAGCAAAAGGTGTGATCAGTCAAATAATAATAATATTTTTTTTACAAATATTAGATTAATTGGAATATAATACTATAAAACTGCAAAAAAAAAATTTTTTTGCTGCTGATCACCACCTTTTGCTGTGGATCCCCATGTAGTTATTGAATGTGAAGTAAACAATAACATAATTGCGCTCAAAACCAGTAATCATAGAAACGGAAGCGAGCGTAATGAATACCATGAATGGATGCATGGTTATATGAAGTGTTGCTATACAGATTCGTGAACATCTTTTTTCAGCTGCATGATATATTGTAATTACAGTCAATCATAATATTCCGATTTAAGCATTTGTTGTTTTTTCTATTTTATTATATTAGTTAAAGAATTATTTTGATAACGCCATATTTTACTTATACGTTTACCAGAAGCGGAATTTTACAGAAATAAACAAAGAGGGCGATTTACAGCCATATGCTACGATTCTCATTAATTGGTCGGCATGATCTTAGATCTTTCTATTTTATGGACATTTGCAGGATTACTTGGTGAACTTCGCATTTATATTCATGGTTCTATTTCGATAAATGATATAGCTGACATTAAATTTCATTTGCAATGTACTTTGTTGACGTATTACTATGATATAATAATTCCGTATTAGGGGTCTGCAAACCGGGCTCGTGCCCGTGCCCAACAAAATTTCGGGCATGGGCATAGGCACGAAGAATCAGGCATGGGCATGGACATGGGCACAAAAATTTGGCATAGGCATAGGCATGGGCATGGGAATGGGCACAAAAATTTAATATTTATTAATTAATTGTGCCTGACACTTTGCCTGGCACCTTTTTGGCACCTTTTTTCCTAGCATATTGTGCTGTGCCATAATAGTACCTGCCACTTTTGTGCCCATGCCCATAAAATGCCTGGCATTTGTGCCATGCCCACATTAATGCCTTGGCACTTTTGTGCCTTAGGCATGGGTAGGGATGGGCACGGCATGAGGCACTAGTGCCTGGCCTGGTGCCAATGTGCCCGGCGTGCCCACTTGCAGAGCCCTATTCCGTATGTAATGAAGGATTGGTAAATGTGATGAAGTTTTTAAAGATACAATGAAATGATTGATAGGATTCATGATAGATTGAGAAGGCAGGTGAAGATTAAGAAGGGTTAGATTAAATAATTAAGCTGTAGTTATTGGGAAGTTTCATCAAAATTAAATAAGGTCATGATTATCTGTATAAGTAAATTTTGCCTCAAACATAACCTTCAGATTTAACTACCCTTAAACCATTGCATTTATGCAAATAAAAAATATATATTTTCAAATTCCTCCATAACGTTTCAGAGCTACTGGTATTTTTCATTTTATATGTGATAGATCACTAAAATTCAAATAATTATTAATAAAAATGGGAAAAAATGGCTCTTAACATTAAGAGGCATTCAAAAAAATATTTTATGTATACTTCTTATGTGAGTATCTAGCTAATTTCATGCATGTTATTGGGTTACCTCGAATACATGATACATAAACTTTGCTCCTTCCTATCGGAGGTGAGCGAAATTTGTTGTCTCATTTAAAAATGACCCAACAAGATGCAGGAAATGGCTAGGTGCTTACGTCAGAAGTATACAATAACCAAGTTATTGGGTCAAGTTGTTAATGACAATCGCTGATTTATTCATAGCGGATGCTATGTCATAACGATGGCCCTTAGCCACCGTTATATCTCAGCATCCTAGTGAATAATCAGCTATCATCAACAACATGACCAATTATTTGTCTAAATTTGAAAGGTCAGAAATAATTAGTATTTAAGTCTATATTTGATATAAAAAATTGCGATCACCTATTTTAATTTACTTTGATGGAACCTCCAATCAGTCATGCCGATATCATATAATCGGTTATTTGTCAAAGGATTTAAGATCTGACTAAAATTTTCGGGTTGACCTTAAATCTTTGACAATAAATAATTTTTAAATTTTCTGTATATTCGATAACGGATTTATCTTGTAACTTGCGATAAAATTTGTTATTCGGCCAACTGTTTAGTTTATGCCGAATAATACTGCCGGACAAATAATAGCATGACTGAAGTTCTATTTTATTGGCTGCAGATATGCAGACTGCCGATCCTAATTCTTAGATCGTGATTGGCTAA